CCAAATTGTGCTATTATTGAGTCAAACCACATAAAACAGTGGATTTGATGTGTCAGAAACTTTATGTACAAATGTAGCAACATATGTGCACATGTATGTGTGTAACTACCGCCACAATAAAAATCTACAATGCTGGGACCAGCAGTTAGCGTAATGGCTGGATTCCCATGTAGTCGACTGTGGTGCGAGTCCCAGACCCGGTGGCTTAAACTCACGCCGGGAGCGTGTGCATGTGTGCCCAAGATCCTGAGAGGAGACTGGAGGAGAAGGAGTTGCAGCGTGGCCATCCCCCCTGGGGGGTTGATTTCTCTCTTTCTGTCTCTCTCTGTCTCTGTCTTTCTGGCAAGTGCACACCCCCAATAGCAAAAATCTCCAAAATAAATAAATAAATAAATAAAGGCCAGCAGGTGGTGTCGTGTATAGAAGAAGCACTAGATTCCCACATGGCCGACAAGAGTTCGAGTCCTGGACCTGGTGGCTTTCTTTTTCACTTTCCCTTTCTCTCTCTGGTCAAAATAAAAAGAAGAATAATAACAAAAGGAACTAAATAATTAAATAAATAATTCTTTAAAGAATCTACAGTGTTGCAACTTACTCAATTGGATGTCTTTCCATTTTATGCAATTCAGCCTACTATTACTAAAAAATATCTTTTCATGGCTAGTGAGCGGGCAGGCCATAGTGTTCCTATTTTGCAGAGGGAGAAACCTGCCCAAGGCTGTCTGTCCAGTTGGGACCTGGAGTCCATCGGTCAGCCTCTCCCTTTCTCCCTCTCCTGTCCCTCACTTTCCCAGCACGGGGCTTCCGGTCACTGTGGGGCAAGGCTGTGCACAGCTGGATCTGACTCACTGTGGACAGAGCAAACTCAGACCAGCCTGGACTTTCCCGGGAGGGCCCACCTTAGCGCTTTCCTAACTCTCGGTTGTGCAAGGGGAGGTTGGGAACAGGGAGAGCCGTCTTCTGTCCCCATTACTCTCTGCTAGGAATGTGCTGGCCGGTCAGGTCACAGAGAGCCACCTGGAGCAGACATCGCCAGTCAGGTCACAGAGAGCCACGTGGATCAGACATTGCCGGTCAGGTCACAGAGAGCCACCTGGATCAGACATTGCCGGTCAGGTCACAGAGAGCCACCTGGAGCAGACATGGCCCCTCTTGTCTTCTCCCTCTGACCCTTCTTCCTGACACCTCTGGAGCTCTGGCTGGTGAAGATCTCACTCCTGCCCTCGCAGCTCAGCCCGTTGCCTCCTGGGTAATTCTGTTCCAGGGCCCCAGTCCCCTGCTGTTCTGTGCAAACCTGTGTCTTGTCCTGTTCCCAGCTCAGGACCCCAGACCACCGGCACCCTCGCTGTAGCACCACGCTGAGCTACCCTACAGGTCTCTCCCCGTGCTTTTTTTTCTTCCCCATCTGGCTGTCTTCTCTTCATTCTCTCTCAGCCCCAGCTCGGGGACTGTGATGCTGAATTTTATGTGTCAGCTTAACTGGGCTACCCGATGCCCAGATATTTGTCCAAATACTGTTGTGGGTATGTCTGTGAGGGTGTCTCTGGATGAGATTGGCATTGGTGGGTAGACAAACTAAAGCAGAATGCTCTCCCTGGCCTGAGTGGGCCTCACCCAATCAGTGGAAGGTTTGACTAGCAGTAAAAGACTGAATAACGGTGACCTGCTTCTGCCTACTGCTTTCAGACTGGCAGTTCAGGCAAGTGCTCTATGCAATTATATGATTTTTTAAAAATCTTTCTCCCCCCACCCCAGAGGGTGTATGTGCTCATTAGAGAAGGAAAGAGAGAGAGAGAGAAAGAGAGAAAAACTGAAAAAGCACCCTCCCCCCATAGGCAACAGTCATTCTGCAATCCCTTCTCCATTTCTCCCTCCTGTTGATATTTTGGGCATACACATGCCTGAGTGTCTCAAGCTTCCGGATCTGGGATTCAAACTGCACAATCAGTCACTGAGATCCAGTTCCCTTAATACCACCATGCCACTGGCTGGTCCCCATGTTTTATCTTTTGTAGAAGAACTTTTACTGTGCCTTTTCTGTGTTTAGACACAAAATACTTACCTCTGCGCTTCAGCTGTTTATCCTAACATGCCGAGTCGCCTGGGAGCAACCGGCTCCCCCACGTGGGTTTGAATAAGAGTGTTCTACGAAGGCTGCACGAGGACGTCTTTCTCATCACACACCCCATGCTTGAGTGATACTGACTATACACCCTTGGCTTCCTAGGTCTTCAGCCTGTTCCTGCAGAACTTGGGACTTAGCGTTCAGAATCATGAGGACCAATTCTTTGTAATACATCCCTTTGTCTCTCCTATCGCTTCTGTTTCTCTGGAGAACCTGGATAAGGGGGTCACCTCCTGATCATCATCTCCTTACTGAGATCACATCAACTGTGTCCCCTTTGAGGTGCTTGGGAGGTGATCCCCAAGCACCTGGCCTCCCCTTCTACTCGTCCGTAGCCACATCAGGTCCGACCCCTCCAGCTGCAGCCACGGGACCCAGAGCCATTCAGACATGCAGCCAGCTCCGTCTGTAACTCCGGTGCTCAATAAACCCATGCGGAGGAAACGCAGATGAAGAGTTCCTATGAGCAATCGTGTACAGAGTTCAAGCGCCTATGGCTGCAGCAGAGACCAAAATACAGCCCCTGCCCTTACAGAGCTTTCTAGGGGGAAGACAGACCTTGAAGTGACTTACCTTTCCTGCCCACAACACGGACATCTTTGGAACACAAACACTTTGAGAGTGACGCTAGAGGGGAGCGCACAGAAGATGGGTCAGGGAAAGAACCATTCTGGCTCGGTCTCATTTCTGGTTGTCAGAGAAACAAGAACATCAGAGCTGGTTTTGTGTTGTTTTCCCCCGTGCTGGGAAACCGTTTCTCAGCCTTAGCCAGTGGCTCTGCACAGAGGTCTTGGGCCTGTAGCAGGCACCAGAATCTCTACGGGGCTATTAAAGCACAAATAGCTGGGCCCCACCCATGAGGGCTGTGATTCAGTTGGTTTGGTGGGAGGCCAAGAATGCGTATTTCTTGAGCGCTCCTAGGTGCTGCCGCTGCTGGCCCCGGTTCTGGCACACAGCCTTGGGTGTAAGCCACAGCTCGCCTGTCTTACCCTGGGACCGCAGACCCTTCCTGGGACTTCTGTTGCCCTCCCTTAGGTTGGGAAGCTGTGCCTGGACACGGGACTTGCCATGGCCTCCTAAGCTGCTCACCTGGGCTCTGTGATTTGGCTCCAGAAGCCACAGCAAGCTGGCCTTGGTACTCGTGGCCTGGGCGGTGACGAGGTGGGAAGGGGAGGTGAAGATTGGGTGTTAAAACAAATTCCTGGGTCTGAACTCAACCTCTTGTGATACGTTCTTTCCCTCAGATGAGTAGGGCAGAGCAGTTCTGATCATCCAGACGCCCAAGAAAGAGGAATGAGCCTAGGAAGAAAGCAATCTGAACCACGAATAAGAAATTGTGGATTGTGAGCCAGCAGGTGGTATAGAGGTTAAGGTGTTGGACTCCCAGATGGCTGACCGTGGTTTGACTCCTGGTCCTGGCAGCTTCAAACACACTACATGTGCGTGCATGCATGCCCAAAATCCTGAGAGAAGACCGAAGGAGAAGGGATTTCCACATAGCTCTCCCCTGGGAGAGTGGTTTCTCACTTTCTGCGTCTCTTTCTCTCTAGCAAGTGCATGTGCCCTATGGCAAAAATCTCTCCAAAAAAAAAAAAAAAAAAAAAAGGACAAAGAAAAGAAATTGTGAAATCTGCAGGTAAGACCTCCAGATAAAGGGAAATTTGAGATAAATAGTAAATGATTTTTTAAGTAGACTCCAAATATTGCATGAAGCATCCTTACACCCCCAAAGCATTTATTGTTGAACTAAAATTCACATGGATCTGGGCATCCTACGTTTTTATTTACTCACTCTGGCAACCTGATCTCCTAGGCTCTCACGTACTTCCAAGACAGGTGCTCCTGTGATTTCTCTCAAGAATCTGATGGGCAAAAATGACTCATTTTGAAGCATTATTCGCAAAAGCCAGAGCCAGAAACCATCCAAATGTCCATCCATCAACAACTAAGTAAACAAAATGTGGTCTATCCATACAGTGGAGTATCCTTCGGCCAGTAGAGAGGGCTGAAGTACTGATCCCTGCTCCGCCATGACTGAACCTTGGTGAGGTTGCGCTGTGAAAGCAGTCACAAAAGCCGCGTCTAGGGAGTCCACGTATATAGAATATTCAGGGTTGGTAAAGCCACCGAGCAGATGGGTGTTTTTCCTAGGGTTAGAGAAAGGGACATGGGGTGGGGGGGAGCACTGTTAAATGAATAGGGGTTTTCTTTGGGATGATGGAAAGGTTTGGGACTATCATAGAGAGTCCCAAATGAAGAGTTCCTGTGAGCAATCATGTACAAAGTTCGAGCGCCTATGGCTGCAGCAGAGACCAAAATACATCCCTTGCCCTCACAGAGCTTCCTATGGGGAAAACAGACCTCAAAGTGACTTACCCTTCCTGCCCACAAAACCAACCCCCAGATATATGACAGAATAGATTTCTGGTTTGGGTTTTATTTTTTTAAAGAGTTATTTTTTTTATTTAATTGTGTTTGTTATTATTACTTTTCTAATTTGATCAGAGAGAGAGAGAAAAGAAAAGTGAGAAAACAAGCCGCCAAGTCTTAGACTCAACTGCAGTCGGCCATGTGGGGGACCAGCGCCCTTAACGGCCATGCCACCAGCTGGTCCCTAGATTCCTGTTTCTTTTTTTTTTTTTTTTTAATTTGTCACAAGGCATTTGTGCTTGCTAGGATGGGGGTTGGAGGCAGGCTTAGGGGAGAGAGAGGAGAGAGAGAGAGAGAGAGAGAGAGAGAGAAAGAAAGTACCCAAAGGGAATGGCTACGCCGCAATCCCTTCTCCATTCTTCCTTGGACTTCTGGGCATGCGCACATATGCACTCTGCAGGTTTTCCAAGCTGCCAAGTCTGTGACTCAAAACACAGTCGGCCAGGTGGGATCCAGCGCCTTAACCATCGTGCCACAGGGCTGGCTCGTTTCCTGTTGTTTTAAGCCTCCCGAATCTGCGGTATCGGTGCCGGCCTATGCAGGTATCCTCTGAGTATCTTCTCTCCACCCCAAGCTGCCAGCAACTCCCTCCAAGCTCGACCAAGGAGCACACAACCACAGACACGTCTTTCCATTGCCTCAGTCTTAAATATTTATTTAAAATCCAGAAGGGAAAAGGAGAAATGGAACCCACTGGGGTTTAACACACTGACATGTGGACAGAGACGTAAACGAGGACAGTAGGAAAAGAACGAGACAGAGGCCGGGGGTGGGGGAAACGAGGGGCTGAGATGAGGCCCCAGCTGCTACGAAATGCACTTCCATGGAGGCGTCTGGGCTGGGGCAGCAGGCGAGGGGGACAGGAAGTGTCTGGGGAGGGAGGGTGGGCCAGAGTGAGGTATTAAATAGAGAAAACCGAATCGAATTCCCAAAGAGACACAACTTCAGAAGAGAAATACACACACAGAGACTTTCACATACATTTTCCCCTTCTATAAAAATAATTCCAGAGTTGAAATGACCTCAGGCTCCAACTCGTGCATGGATAGCGTACAATTCAGATCTCACTGAACGTCAGCATCGCGCTGATCTCTGAGGCCGCATAATTCTTCTTTCGCCTCAGCCCAAGTTTGTACTTGCAGCTAATGACAGTAGGTTTGATAGGATGTACGGGCAATGAAAAAGCAAGAACCATGATTGCATCTTGAAAGGACAGTCTCCCAGAAGGGATGAACTTGGGGGATGTTCCGTGGCTTTGCGAGACAGTTTGGTATTTACGATCCATCTCTAAGGCTAGCCCTGACCAAAGGTCACTCTTGTGACTAGACTTGTCAAGGTCAAGGCTCCTCCCAGGGCCTCTCTCTGGGGCATGCCTTCTAAGGCAAGCCCATCCTCTCTCCAGGACCACAAAAGGCCCACTCTAAATGCTTCATGCCCGGCCTCCCCACTGCCTTGAAAGGACAGGCATTTCGAAGTTCATAAGTTAAAAGGTAACTCTCTCTACTTCTGGTTTCTGGTTTTATTTTTATTTTTTTATTTTTTTAATTTTTTGGTTTTTTTTGTTGTTGTTGTTTAGCTTCTCCCCTCCCCCTTTTCCTTTTTTCTTTTCAATTTTCCTCCTTAGCAAGTCACCTGACAAGCATAAAGGTGATGCTAGGAAAATGTTTTAATTCCCCAAACTCTGTCATTTGGAGGATAGAGAAGGATGTGGATGACGTCCAACATCGAAAGTTTCTTCAAAGTCTGTGGCAAAAATGGTAGCACCTTCAGAATCTTAAATAGGTTTTTTTTTTCCCTTAAAAAAAATCACATACTCTACGAGACAATTGTGAGCACCAAAGATTTCACAGTGGGAGGTAGCAAAGATGGCACCGCCAGCCCGAGGGCCTGGCCTCTTCCCACCTCCTGGCTGCTCTTTCTCATCCTCTCACCTCTTCTCCAGGTGAAAAAAATGGTAATGCACCTTCTTTTTGTTTGTTTAAATAATATATATATATACTTTCTTTCCTTTTCTCCTTTTTTCATGTCTCCTTTCTAATATTGCACATCAAAAACTCCCTGGCTGGGACGAGCTGACATGGCGCTCCCTTCCCTCGAGTTGGCTGGAACATGGGGCTCTTTGGGCAGGAAGCTGGGGAGGGAAGGGAGTGGCCCCGAGTTGGGAGACAGGCCACCGGCTCAGGCGGGTTGCAGGTCCAGCTTGCTCTCGCTGGCTCTTTGGTTGGTCTTTGGAGCTAAGCTGGGATCCGCTGTTCCCAAGGATACCTGGCCCCTGCTACCCTCCCCCATCCACTTTTACTGGGCAGGGAACATCTGGCCTCGTGCAAGGAGGCTTGGGCAGGGGCTGCCTCTCCTGGGGCCACCTGCCCCTCAGTGCCCTCCCCTTGCCTCCTCCTCTTCCCTTCCCCTCAAGGCCTAGAGGAGCCAAGAGGTCAGAGGTCAGAGGAAGCATGCAGGTCCAACTTCGAGGCGGTACTGCTTCCCTGATGAGGCAGGAGGGAGGTTGTCCACACTGACGATGGGCAGCTGCTGGGGGTCCTGGGTCCGGAAGGTAAAGAGCGTCTGATGCCAGCGGCCATCCTGGACCTGAGGGTGCAGGAAAACAGCTCATGTATATCCGACATGACTCTCGTCGCGTCTCCTGTGCATTTCCCTGTCAGCTTTCCTCACGAGGCTTAATGGCTGCATGGCATTTCGATGTAGTAATAACCTGTATATGCACGTTAAGATTGCTTCCAATTTTTTATTTATATATTTATTATTTTTAAAAATTTGCTAGAGGGGGGACCAACAGTTGGCATAATGGCTGTGTCGCTGGATGCCCATGTAGTCGACCGTGGTTCGAGTCCCAGACCCAGTGGCTTAAACTCATGCCAGGTGCATGTACGTGCATGCCCAGAATCTCATTAGGATGAAGAAATGGAGAAGGAATTGTGTGACCGCACCGAAGGGGGTTCCTCTGTCTCTTTGTCTCTCTGTCTCTCTCCGTCTTTCTGGTGAGCACACACGCCCTATAGCAAAAACCTCCCCAAAAAAAAAAATTGTGTGTGCTTGCCAGAGAGAGACAGAGAGACAAAGAGACAGAGGAACCCCCTTCGGTGCGGTCACACAATTCCTTCTCCATTTCTTCATCCTAATGAGATTCTGGGCATGCACGTACATGCACCTGGCATGTTTTCCAAATCACCAGGGCCAGCATTCACACACATAGTCAGCCATATTGGATCCAGTTCCCTTAACCACCAGGCTTGGGAACAGCCCCCACCTTTTGATTCTTATAAGCAATGCTGTAATGAACATGACTGAAGTCAAACATGATTCTGTGCACATGCTTAATCATCCCCTTAGAACAAATTCTAGAAGAATTACTGAATTAAAGGGTGGGTACATTGCTGAGGTTTTGCACATATAGTCTGTTCTGCATAACTGCAGGTTTCCCATCTGCAGATTCAACCCCACTGTGAATGAAAACGTTACATTGTTGGGACAGCAAGTGGCTTGGTGGTTAAGGCACTGGATGCTCACATGGCCAACAGTAGTTCAAGTGCCGGACCAGGCAGCTTGCTTTCTCACTTTTTTTCTCTCTCTCATGAGCATATGTGCCCTATAGCAAATTAAATAATAATAATAAATAAATTAAAACGAGTAATTCTTTAAAATGTTACACTGGTGTTGATGTATACTACGTAGCTAGGCCTATGATGGTTGTGTCTATATCAAACACATTCAGACTTTTCTTGTCATTATTCCCTAAACAATAGTCAGCCCTACATATCTGTTCACAGCGATTTACATAGGATTGACAATGTTTTTTGTTTAAGTTTTTGCCACTGGATGCATGTGCTCTTGCTAGAGAGAGGCAGAGAAGAGGGAAGTGAGAACTCACTCTCTATTCTACTCTTGGGATGTGGGCATGCATGCACACATGACTGATGTGATGTTCTTTTTTCTTTCTGTTTTTTTTTAAGCTATTTGTCAGAGGGTGTATGTACTTGCCAAAGAGACAATGAGAGGGACAGTGAAAAATTATGCCCCAGAGGGAATGGCCATGCCGCAATCCCTCCTCTTCCTGGGTCTTTGGACACACACAGGCACACACGCCCAGCATGATTTTTAAGCTGCCAGATCTGGGACTCAAACCACAGTACGCACCTTAATCACCACATCACCAGCTGGCCTCACTGTATTAGGTATCATAGGTAATCTAGGGATGATGTAAAGTATATGGGAGGGGGACCAGCAGACAGTATAGTGGTTATGTTGCTGGAGTGCAGTTTGAGTCCTGGACCTGGTGGATTAAAACTCATGCTGTGGGACCAACAGTTAGCACAATGGCTATGTCGCTGTACTCCCATGTAGTCGACTGTGGTTTGAGTCCCAGACCTGGTGGCTTAAACTCACGCCGGGTGTGTGTGCATGCATGCCCAAGATCCCGAGAGGAGAATGGAGAAGAGATTGCAGCATGGCCATCCCCTCTGGGGGGTGATTTCTCACTTTTTGTCTCTCAGTCTCTTTCTCTCTTTCTGGAGAGCACATGCGCCCTATAGCGAAAACCTCTCCAAAAAAAGAAAAAAAAAAAAAAAACTCATGCTGGGCACATGTGCATGCATGCCCAAAATCCTGAAAGGAGAATGGCGAAGGGATTGTGGTGTGGCCATTTCCCCTGGGGAGGATGATTTCTCGCTTTCTGTCTCTCTGTCTCTCTCTGTCTCTCAGGCAAGCACATGTACCCTATAGCAAAAATCTCTCTTAAAAACTAAAGTATATGGGAAGATGTGCATAAGTTAAATACAAATGCTCCACCATTGTAAATGAGGGATTTGGGTAACCATGAATTTTGGTATCTGCAGAGAGTCTAAGAATCAGTCCCCACGTGTACTGAGAATAGTGCACGCTGGATATATATTTGGACTTCTGCTATGCAGAAAGCATGTACTAATTTCTTTTCTCCAACAGCTTCATGTGAGAGTATTAGTTCCCCACATGCTCGCTAATACTGTGTATTACCAGTTTCATTTACTCTTATGAAACTAGTTTTTGCCTTTAGACAACTTTCTATCGTCTCCTCCCCTGACAAACCTCCTCTGTTTTGGGCATTTGAAAATGATCAAAAATATTAAGAGAAAAAAAATCATCTCAACTAGGGCAGGGAGATTAGGGCAGGGACAGAGAGAAGACAGCCTCTTCAAAATAGTCTTGCCAATAAGATTCCATTCTGTGGAATCTTACCAACCCAGACGTCCCCTCAGAAGGCTCCCCGAGAGGAAAATAAAGACAGTCTTATAAAATGGTCATAACAAAATTGTTATGCAAAGATAAAACCTATATATACCATACCATATGACTGGGTCATTGGGAAAGTCATGAGATATTTATCTATGTTTTTCTATGCAAAAATGCATCATGACTTTTCCAATGATTCAATATAACATAAAATATAATATGAAATTATTAGATGAAGTCTTAGAATAAAAAGGTTTTCTGAACAAGTTTTTTCCCATCTGTCCCTGCTTGGCAGGCCCGTGAGACCTCTAAGAGTCACCTTGCAGCCATCCATGGATACTTCCGGCCTGAACTGACCCCCGGCTTCAAAGACCTGCCCATTCCAGGCCCGGAAGCGCACAGCCTGCCTGGCTGGGGTCCGCCCGGGACCCTCCTGCCACACGGTCATGTTAAGGCAGTGGATGGTGATGTGCTGGGTCACCTCCGAGCTCAGCAGGTGCAGAAAGTTCATCTGGACCCGGCTGATGGCAAACTCGACCTGCAGAGGAGATAGCCGTGAGGTGGGATCAGGCCTGCGGCTCTCAAGATTCCCCATCTTTCTCTGGAGGGGAAAAGGGATAAGCCCTTTCCTGGTAAGCTTTTCCTAACTATGTCCCCAGATGTGTCCCCACTTGATAGATAGGGAAATCAAGCTCTTTGAGCTGGTCCCCCAGCCCCTTGGCTATGTGACAAGAGTGCCTGCCTGACTCCAGGGCCAGAACTTCGACTGTCCTAATCCAATCCACTTCCCACTGAGCTGAGATCCAGAGGCCCAGAGACGAAGAGGGTCTTGCCCAAGATGCAGAGGCTCTTAGAGTACAGAAGGGAGGTGCTCTCCACACCCTTTCCAATGGTGGGGTGGGGGGATGCTGCTGGAAACAGCAGGCCTCAGCACAAACAACAGGACAGGATTTATGGCTTCTGAGGTTCCCCATGGGGAGCCTGAGCCCCTCCTTGCCATTGTTCCTGATGGAGATGATGACCCAGACGGGCGGTCATGCTGCCAACTCAGGGACCAACTCCAGCCTTACCCTCTGCTGTACCCTCTCTGTGGCCCCGGGGAGAAGGTCCGCAGAGGTCACTGAGGACCTGCTGGACCTTGAGCTCTAGCTACAGGTGTAGCAGTGAATCTGACCTCCCCACATCTGGCTCAGGACCTGGCACGTGGCAGGGACCCAGCAAAGACTCGCCGATGGCCCGTGATAGATGGCCTCACCTGGAGATTATCAAAGTCTGGTTCTGACACAGTGGCCACCAGACACCTTTCAAGCCTCCCAGGGTGTAGTGCTGATGGAACGGGACATAAGAACCTCTGGGTCTCTCCCTCCCGTGAGCCAGGGCAGTTTTTCAGTGTGACATGAAGAGCCCCAAAATGTGGAGGGCTTAGTGGAATTGCAGACCCACAGTCCCCTGAGGGGTACCCTGGGTGGGGGCGCGATCATGCCCCAAAGCCACCGACTGCACTGGTTTGACGTTGGGTTGCCCTGCACCACCCAAATGCTTAGCCCAAAGACAGGTGCATGGTTGGCAGGTGCGGAACTTCGTTAAATGTCTGCATACACCTTTGTCCATGTTGCTACTGGGGTGTGTCCATTTTGCAGAGAAGACAACTGAGGCTGAGAGAGGCTGAGCCACTTGCTTAAGGGATGTAGGGATAAAGGAGTGGCAAGGCCAAGGCGTCCTCCTAGGGCTGCCGTGTGGGCTCTCACAGGGCGTGTCCCAAGTGAGCCTCACATTGACTTGATTCATGCCAACGACTCCAGGCCAGGCCAGCTCAGCCAACCATTCTGCTGTAGATATTAGGCTTGAAGGAAGATTCATCAGCATCACACAACCCGGGAGGGTTTGGACACCACTGATTGGCCCAGCTCACCCCCAACTTACAGATGAGAAACCTGAGTCTCAAAAAGAGGTGACTTTCCCAACCCGGAATAGGCCCTGGATTGGCTGTGGGCTGGGCAAGAGCAGGGACACAGAGGGTCAGCCTGGGGGCTGGCAGGAGCAGATGGTACCTTGGAGGCCGTGATGGGCTTGAGACATGTCTGTCCACCGTGTGTGAAGTTGCAGGAGACTTCAATGGTGTCGGATGAGCAGCCGAGGTTTGGGTCCACCCAGTAGGTACCTGCAGCAGGGGATGAGGGTGATGGGTGCACCTGGGGAGGAGCCCAGGACTCGGTTCTGCAGATACACCTGCGCCTCTGACCTGCTG